TTCCTCAATTGTACAGAAGCACTAGAATTTCTGGGGGAAATGAATCTTACGGTAAAAATGAACTTCGCATTTAAATCAGGAACAGAGTAGCTGTGGTCCTGCTCAGAAAGGAGTGTTTTATCTCCAGAGCTCATCAGTCATTGAAAGGTCAGGGATAATAAGCAACGAGGCATTCTGCCGACCTGTGTCAAGGTAAAGAAAAGAACAGTAACTGGATCACTTGCGCTACAAATCAGACAATTGCCTTGTCCTTCTTATGTTATTTTGCCTCACCTCTTCCAGACTGTCCCTCGCCATAGCTGACTCCCTGCATTAATGTCCTCCCTGCTGTATGCAATTCAACAATCTTTTCCTCCTGCAGAAGCAGGGACACTGTAAGGGGACTCACTTTACAATACTATTGCAATTTATCCACATTAGCCTTGTTCTAGCTCCCTTCCTGCCCTCAGAGGAAACCACTGTCTTGAATTTTGTGAATAACATTCCTTTGTTTACATACTAGTTTTCTCTTTTTAATGTTTATTTATTTATTCTGAGAGACTGGGGGGGGTGCAGAGAAAGGGGGAGAGAGAGAATCCCAAGCAGGCTGTACACTGTCAGTGAAGAGCCCAAGATGGGGCTAGAACCCTCAAACCATGAGATCATGACCTGAGCTGAAATCAAGAGTCGGATGCTTAACCAAGTGAGCCACCCGGGCGCCCCACACATCAGTTTTAAACAGATGTATATGTGTTCCTAGATAACATATCACTTAGTTTTGCTTGTTTCTGAGCTTTGTGAAAGGGCAACTTATATGCGGTCTTCTGTGAACTTCACTCAGTGTTATGTTTCTAAGAGTTACCTCTGCTACTGAACACAGCAATTGTTACCTCATGTACACCATGAATATTTCATGATCTGGGTATATCAAAATTTAGTTCTCTTTTATTCAATTGTAAGTACTTTAAAATTCTCATTCATGATTTCTTCTTTGATCCATGAGTTATTTGGAGCCTATTTTTATTTTATTTTTTTGAAGTCTATTTTTAAATCCCATTTATTGAAGTCAATCTTTAGAAATTGAAACGCACTGTTATTTAAATTTAAATTTTTTTCAATATATGAAATTTATTGTCAAATTGGTTCCCATACAACACCCAGTGCTCATCCCAAAAGGTGCCCTCCTCAATACATATCACCCACCTAAATTTAAATCTTTAAAAAATTAGTCTACTGATTCCTAAAATCTATCGGGAGATTTTAGTAGAGATTACAAGGTCTAAGTCAGTGATGAACGAACCCAGCCTGCCACTTGTTTGTCTACACTCGTGAACTACGAATGGCTGGCACATTTTAAATGGTTGAAAAACACAAAAGAAGGATAATGTTTTGAGGTATGTGAAAATTATGTAAAGTTCAAATTCAGTGGGCCTAAATAAGTTTTATGGGAAAATGGCCATGGCCATTAGCTTAATTACTATCCTTGCTCCTGCAGGAAAAGATAGTTGAATTGCATAAGTGTATTTTCTATGGCAACTTTCATGCTACAGTAGCAGAGTTGAGTAGCTGCAACAGAGACCTGCAAAGCAAACATTCTTACTGTTTGGCCCTTTACAGGAAATGTTTCTCAACTCTTGGACTAGATAATACAATTCTTTGAAACGTATTAAATAAGCTAGCTAATGTATGTAAATACTTCTTACGGGTTTAATGAGAATGTGCATTCTCTAAGTATTGTATGCCCACGCTGTCATCTCTATATGTTGTACATCAGTGTCAGTGTATATGCGTGGAATTCTGAATAATTTATCAATAGGTGAAAGGGTGTTGAAATATCTCCCCATAATGGTGGATTTATCAATTTCTCCTTGTAGATTTTATCATTAAGTGGTGACCCTATCTCCAATAATATATATATTTTTATCTTGAGTCCATTGTGTGTGATATCCATACAGATACACCAGTCTTCTTTTCATGATTATATATCTGATATGTTGTATGTTTTTAGTTCCTGGAGCTTCAAAACAGTAACAATAGTAACATCAAAGATCACTCATTACAGATCACCATGTCAAATATAATAATAACGAAAAAAAATTAAATATAGGAAGAATTACCAAAATGGCACACAGAGACATGAAGTGAACAAATGCTCTTGGGAAAAAAAGGGTGCTGATAGACTTGCTGGATGCAGGCCTACCACAAACCTTCAATTTGTAAAAAATCCACCCAGTGTCTTTGAAGCACACACACAAAAAAACAGTGCAATAAAACAAGCGATGCCTGTATACCTTCTCTAATTTATCCACAGATATGGTTCGCATTATTTGGTTTTAAGACTGCCTGCAAAGCTACACATAGCAGTCCCTACATGACATTCAGACATTAGATTGGGGGACTGGGATGGAGAGGGGGTATTTGAAGAATATATTTGTTTCCTTGGTAGTTTAGATACAGCTCTTAGTCTTCAGATTGTATACGTTCAGCACTATAATTCCTTCCCATTTTCTGCATCTGGCTTTTACACCCAGCTATAGACTTAATATGGTCCTCAAGTTTTGCAACTACACCCTACATCTGAACGACCCCATTCACTCCATATATCTGCCCTCATTCTGTCCTGCATCATTTTCATCCCACATACCAACATGAACAAATGAGATTTTCAGAAAGGAGAAACTTGTACATAGTTAGCACTATAAACAGGAAAGTTCGACCAATTCTCAGAAAAGTATAAAAAAGATTATTAACAGTGGCTCCAAGCACTTAGAAAAGGTGATGGAGATCGTTGATGCCAGAATGGGTTAGTTTGAAAACAGATCCAGTTTAACTAGATTTGCTTCTTTTTCCCCTTTTATTTCTTTAATAAATACTTGGACCGGTATATTTGGGGATGCTAGAGACAGTGAATTTTCATTTCAGTAAAGCATTTAGAAAACTTTTCATAAAATCCTTGCTGGTTATAGTATGATTGCATGAAATAAAATGTATGATCTTGAAAAGTGTTGGTTCATTTATTATTATTGTCTTGGAGATTATTCTTGGTGGTGGGCTACAAGGCTCTTTTCTCAGCCTCTTTTATATAACTTTTATTAGACTTAATAAACTGGAATTTATTAATTTTTTTATAAACTTTATAAACTTAATTAACTGGACACAAAGAAGCCATGTTCATTAACTTTACAGATACTATAAGTTAAAAGTGATCACTAATAAGATTTTCAAATCTGAAATTATGTCTTAAAACAAACAAGATGGAGTTTAATATGGATTAAAGGCAAAAATTGGGTTTAAGCATATACAATTATAGAAGTATAGACTATGTAATATGGTAAGTATGGTTTAATTTAGTCCATATAAAATAGACTTGGATGTTTTATTCAACGCTAGGTAAAATACATTTGCTAAAAGAAAAACCTTACTCAAGTTTGGGATATCTTATTGACAGGGTAGGTATGCTTGGGTCAAAGGAACTGCTGATCAGTTTGTGACAAAGTTCTTGGCTCACAGTATTTGAATGTTGTGTTCTCTCTCTCTTTTTAAAGTTTATTTGTTTATTTTGAGAGAGAGAGAGAGAGACAGACAGAGACAGAGAGAGAGAGAGCGCGTGCAAGTGAGCAGGGGAGGAGCAGAGAGAAAGGGAGAGAGAGAATCCCAAGCAGGCTCTGTGCTGTCAGCTCAGAGCCTGATGCCAGGTGGGGCTGAAATCACTAACGGTGAGATCATGACCTGATCCCAAACCAAGAGTCCTACACGTAACCAACTGAGCCATACAGGCACCCCTGTTGTGTTGTCTTGAGTGCACATTTGAAAAGGAAAAGTCAAAGGATATTCAAAGCAGGGTAAAGAGTGTGGTTATGAGAGTTCACCATTCCACTTGACAAATAATGAAAGGATCTACAAATTTTGAGGAATGGAAAAATATTAGATATTCTGACAGCTACTTAGAGGTTTGCTTCAAATATTTCAAGACTTGCAATGTCTATAAAGAATGAGATTAGTTAATTCCTAGGGGTCAGAATGAGCATCTGTGGTGTAAGTTAAGGGAAGTTGAATTGATGTTCAGAATCAAACGTTAAAGACCTGTCTGTTAAGCAGATCTGGATTTTCATTCTAGCATCAAAACTGGCTTTGGCAAAAGAAATTATACTTTTGAGCTTTATTTTCCTATTGAATGGGGATAGTAAGGCCTATCTCGTTTTAAGGATTAGAAATAATACATAAAAATTGCTTAGTTCCTGGCATATGTAAAAACTCAATAATCATGATTATACATAATATTGATAAAAATAAAGATTCAAAACATTGTGAAACTTTAAGTGGATGATGGTATGGTGGAAATATGAAGAGAGGATTTTCATTTAGGATAGGGGACTGGACTTAAGATACATTTGAACTTTCAGCATAATGGTTTTGATTACCACCTTGGTGTGAAACGTTGCTTTCCCCTGACTGCGCTGTCTTTTCCCTTGCTCCACAAAGCAAGCAGGTTCTCTTTTATCCAATCCTCGTTGATTTCTGAGAGTCAATTGCCTTTAAAGAAGTTAGAACAGGAAGGGGGCGTAGCTATGACAAATGAGTGTTTCAAGAGTAAGGAAAAATAAACTAGAAGACTAAAGGGCTTCTCATTGAGTGGCTCCGTGAGCTGCTCATGGAGGAGGCACCAGTCACGAGGGTTGGTTAAGTTACAAGAGGCATTCAGGAAAGTCTCCACCACTTCAAACCACATCAGGCTCTTGGCAAGAGCTACGTTAAGAATGGGATCCAAGGCAGGCTAGCGAAGCGAGTCTGGGCTTGCTGGCTGGAGCTAAGGACCAAATGAAGGCCCTTGGGTGCCACCACTTGATGGCACGAATTGAGACAAAACAAGAGGAGAGCGACAAAAGGGGGAAAATGGGTGGGAGGGCCGCAAGAAGGAAGACAAAGGTTCGCGGGGCTTTGGGCGCGGCGGGTTTACTGCCCGTAGGATAGTGGCCAGCAGTTGTGCACCAGGACCCGGGGCGATGTAGATGGGAGCTCCCATGGCCGGGGGCATCAACCCTTGCCGGGAGGGGAACCTCTCCACACGCTCGGTTCCCCTTCCCGCGTCTCCCAGCTGCTAGTCAGTCCTGCTAGGGCACTTCTCGAAACCTGTCTGCAGCTGGGAACCCTGGTCCGACGTTGATGGCCTAGATAACTTAGCGCGGCCTCGCGCCTTCTTTTCTTCCGCCCCTCTCCCGCCCACCCGACCCCATCGCCCCCACCGCCCAGTTCACCTCCAGCGCCGGGGTAGACCAGATACTCCGCGGCTCGGCTGCCGGCAAGACCCGGAGAGTGGAGTTCGCTCCGGCAGCGCGAGGCGCGCACTCGCAAGCGCGCTCTCGCTCACTCCTCGCAGGGGTACTGGGCATGCGCGGCGCGCGTCTGGCTTTGGCGGCGAGCGGGTGAGCGGGCGGGCAGCTCCAGACTTCACAGGCGGCGGCGGGCGCGGCGGTCTTGCCCAGCGCGAGGCGGGCGCTGTGCTCGCCCGGGAGATCGTTCCTCTTCTGCCGGGCGCAGACGGCGGCTTGGCGGCTCGCGGAGGATTGGAAGGGCGTGGTCCAGGACGGGGGCTTTCTCCTGGCCGCCTCCTGCCTCGTCCGGGCTCCAAGCGTCTCCGGGGAAAGCCACGGCCCCGAGGGCGGATCCGAGGTAAGAGACCCTCGGGCGAAAGGCGCCGGCCGGGGGTCGAGTGTTTTGGACTCAGCCTCGATTTTAAAAACCCGCCTTTGTGTGCTTGCATGGAGCGGTGCCAGGCGCCGCGTCCGCTTTCATTCACTTTGACTGCTTTCAACTGGTGTTGGGAGCCAGGTGTGCCAGGGCGCTGCTACCGGAGCGCGTCCGTGCGCCCGGTCGTGGTGCGCCCGGTTTTGGTGCGCCGCGGAGCCCGTGCCGACCTTCGGCCGCCCCGCCGCCCCGCGCCGCCCGCAGAGCCCGGGGCTCCGGGACGGGTGGGCAGGGAAGATTCAATAGTTCCTGGTAACCTGAGCTTCCGCACATACACCTGCGCTTGTCTTGTCCGTGGGGCGACTACACAACGGGTGTTCTCACGGCCTGTTTTAGGCTTGGGGTTTCGAGAGCTACCCTCCCCACCCTCACATGGAGGGTGTCTTTTCAAATTGACACTTTGGGACAGGGTCCCACCATCGCTTACCCCTTCAAATTAAGATAGCTCATTGTTTTTGAATAGTTGTCTTTCCTGATTCCTTCCTGTTGACTTTCCGTTCTTAGTTTGTTCCGCTCTACTCACAATTTTACTTTTGAAAGATAGCCTTTCTGGTGTCTTTGTCAGTTAATGCCTTTGGAGTGGATTTCACCACGTATGAAGATCCGGCTCGCTTCTCCTCTGGTCACTCTTCCTGCTTTCCTTCCAAGGACCATCTGAATGCAAAAATCTTTGCACGGATTGTTCTCTTCCTTCGCATTGTTTCTCAAATGCTTCTTTTCCTGTAGAACCCAGAGTACTGCTGGAATCTCCTTGTGGGTAGGACGCTGTGGTGTTAGGATTTGAAATCCATCGATGTCTCGAGTGGTGGAGCATTAGGAATTGGAATTCTCCTTTACAAATTACATTCCAGTGAAATGTATTACTGCTTTTCTTTTGAAGGTTTCAGTTTTGGTCTCATAATGAGAGAAATAGCTACTGTCTTAAGAGTTCAGGAACAACCTGGTTTCAGATGCATGCGAATAGTTTGTTTTTGACATTGTTATTCTTTTGGGAGATAGGAGAATTAGGATTCCCAGAAGACCGTGTGTGTGTGTGTGTGTGTGTGTGTGTGTGTGTGTGTGTCCATATATATATATGGACATAACACACATAATACCAAACTAGCTGTGTTGTGTGTTGCTTCTATTTTATTTCCACTGAGAGGATACCATTCTACAACGACTTGGGTTTTGGAAAGTGTGCACTAAATGTAGATCAAGTGGTCATTGAAATTAAAGTCAATATCATCCTCTCTCACCTACTATAGATTTTCTATTTGGAACTGGAGTTTTTTGGATAGATTATAGTTATAATAGTTAAGTTATAGTTCTTAAGTTGCTACTGTGAAAAAAATTGGGTCATCGGCTCACACTTTGACTTACAGTGAGAAAAATAATGCACTTTATGGAATTGCCATTAAAGGGTAGAGTGCATCACAAATGTAATAACATTGTATAAATGCCTTTAGTGCACAATTCATAGATTAAGACTTTTTAAAATTCCACAAGTCATTCACTTCACAGCAGGAAAAAAAAGAAGAAAAGTTACTTTTAATTCCAGTATTATGCAATAACCACTGTTCACAATATTTGGTACATTCTTTTTGTAATATTTTTTCTTCCCACTTTCCAGTGTCATTGGACATCATTATATGGTAATTTTCAGCCTTTTATTAATGGTGGGAGAGTAAGTTGTATTTATGGTGATTCTTCAACGTGGTTTATTCTGGTTTGCTCTCTCTAGGAGTCTAATTTTGAACACTTTGCTTGTTTCTGATAGAATGAAGAGATTTCATTTTGTTTTATTTTTAATTTTTCCTGTTTTCAGTTAATTGGGCCTTTTCTGTGCTATAACATAGGCTCCCTTTGCCTTCAGTTTTTATTTGCTACACTTCAGATCCTAGACCCTGGCTTTTCTTACGCTGTGCTGCAAAGATGTTCACCGCTACCTTTTATTTTTCTCCTGACTCTCCTGTTATTTTCATTTACCTATTTTAATTCTGCAACAGTTCCCTTGAACCATGGTTTATATAAGAAAATATATTATCCACAATAAAAGATGATAGTTTTTTCTCGAGGTCTCTCTTTAGATGTTTGAGGTTTCGTTGGATGAGTGTTTTTACCACTGACTTAATTTATATAAAATTTAGGTTACCTTTTCTGAGTTGTATTAAACGTATTTGGTAGTTATTTGGATCATCACAGAACATAAGTTAATGATAGGTTACAAACTTTCAGACATCTGCAATGGTATATAAGGGAAAAGTGGAATTTTGGTTAAAGTACTTCAGCTATAGTACATCCCTACTGGGAATTACTGCATGAAATTGTTTGCAGCTGTTAGTGATTGAAAATATTTTCCTAAGAAAAATTCTGTAACAAAATGGTTGTAAACATTGTAACTTTAATGTATGCAGGGAAGGTGTGAAGTTTTTCACTACTGCACTACAACCTCTCCAGTGTTTTTTAGATACATTCTTAGATGATATTTAAATATATATATACATATGTATATTATTTTTAGATTAGTTTCAGATTTACAGAAAAAGTATAAAGATAGTACAGTGACTTATATGCACTGTTACTCAATTTCATGTCTGATTACATCTTACATTAGTATTTGCTATAATTAATGAACCAGTGTTGGTACATTATTACTAACTGAAGTTCATACTTAACTTAGATTTCCTCAGTATTTATCTGATGTCCTTTTTCTGTTTCAGGATACCATATTACACTTAGTTGTCATGTTTCCTTAGGCCCCTTTTTGGCTATGACAGTTAGACTTCTCTTGTTTTTAATGACCTTCACAGTTGTGAGGAATATTGGTTTGGTGTTTTGTAGAATGCCCTTCTTTTGGAATTAGTCTGACTTTGTTCTCATGATCAGATTGGGGTTTTAGGTTTCTGGAAGGAAGATCACAGAGGTAAAATGCTATTTCTGTTACATCATATAAAGGTGCATCCTATCACACGGACTTATCACTGTTGATTTTGATGTTGATCACCTGGCTGAGTTAGTGTTTGCTAGGTTTCTGCAATGAAAAGTTACTCTTCTTTCCATGCTGTACTTTTAGAAGGAAGTCACTGTGCACAGCCCACACTTAAGGAGTGGAGAGTTTTACTTCTCCTCCTTGAGGGTGGGGTATGTGTATAATTTATTTAGAATTCTTCTGCATGGCAGATTTTTCTTTTCTCTGCATTTATGTATTTACTCAATCATTTACTTACATTGGCCTGTACTCATGGATATTCATTTTATACTTTGGGTTGTAATCCAGTACTACTGTATTTTGTTGCTCACATTGTTTCAGCTTTCGTCATTGGGAGCTCGTTTAGTTGGCTCTGTTCCTTTGACATATCTCCATTAATGTGAGGTGGGGCACCTGGGTGGCTCAGTCCATTAAACATACAGCTCTTGATTTCCGGTCAGGTCGTGATCTCACGGTTCTTGAATTTGAGCCTTGCATTGGGTTCCACACTGTTATCTCCGAGCCTGCTTGGGATTCTCTCTCTCGGTCTCTCTCTGCCCCTCCCCCACTCACGTTTTATCTCCCCACCCCCCCTCCCTCCCCACACACATACACATACTCTCTCTCTCTCAAAATAAATAAATAAACTTAAAGATCATTTCCTTACTTTCTGGCATTAAAAGATGCTCCAGGCTCATCTTTTATATTTCCATTTCCTGTTACAGTCTTAGAATCAGCCAGAAAGAATCTGTTTCATTTCCTTGGGAAAATAGTATTAGAAGCCAGGATTTGGGTGTTTGGTTTTTATTGTTACTGGGGTGTCATTGCCTCTAGAGTTTCTCATCTACAGAGCAGGAAATATATGCATGTAAACTAACCTATGTATATACACATATCTATACAATTTCTCTATGTAATCCTATGTATTCATATTAAGCAAAATATGAGTTTGTATGGATGTCTGTGACTCTGCCTACCCCGTCTCCACTTGTGTTCTTCTGTTCTCCTCTACTTGCTTATCCGTAAACTTACTCTGTGAGAAGTAACCTGGATCCCACCATCTGCCATCCATTTATTTAATTGTTCAATCCTATAACATATGTATAGCAGTATTGAAATTATTAACTTCTATTCTCTTTACAGAGAGAGGGAAACAACTTTATCAACTAGAGTACAGTGCTTTCATGCTGCTTCTTTTGCTTTTAGTTTACAGATTCTACTCCTTTTTCTCCTGTCCTACTTAATATGAGGTAGTTGCCTGCCTTTATAATAGGGTCAGACCCTTTTGTTAAATCTCCAGTCCATCCTGGGATCCTCCCTTCTTTCTAAATGACTTTTTAAAAGTTTGCATACATTAAAGTTCACTCTTCATCCTATAAGGTTCTCTGGGTTTTGACAAATGCATAATTTCAAGTCTCCATCATTACAGAATCAAAATATCATACATTAAAAAAAAATCCTGTCCCTCATTTATCACTCCCTTAACTCCCTCCCCCTGACAACCACTGATTTTTTTTTTTTTCTCTATAGTTTTGCCTTTTCCAATTGGAATCATAGAGCCTTGTCAGACTGGTTTCTTTCACTTATCAATATGCATTTAAGGTTCATTTATGTTTTCTTGTGATTTGAGTTCATTTCTTTTTATCATTTAATAATATTGCATTGTATGGATGTTTTCACAGTTTTTGTATCTATTCATTTATTGATGGACATCTTGGATGCTTCCAGTTTTTGGCAACTCTGAACAAAGCTGGTAAGAATATTCATGGGCAACTTTTTGTGTAGACACAAGATTTCAGAACATTTGGGTAGATACCTAGGAACATGATTGCTGGATCATATAAGATTATTGTTAGCTTTGTAAGATATTGCCTGAGTGGCTATACCATTTTGCATTTCCATCAGCAATTAATGCTTGCTTCTGTTGCTTTTCCTCCTTGTCAATTTTTGATATTGTTAGTTTTTTGGATTTTATGGATTTTAATAGGTGTCGTAACATCCCATTGTTGCTTTAATTTGTCATTCCTAATGACATTTAATGTTAAGCATCTTTTTATATGCTGTTGTCTTCTGTATATTTTCTTTGGTGAGATATTTGTTCTGAACTTTTGACTATTTTTTATAAATTTTTTAATGTTTATTTTTGAGACAGAGAGAGAGAGAGAGAGAGAGAGCGAGCGCGCGTGCGCGGGCACTAGTGGGAGAAGGGCAGAGAGAGAGAGGAGACACAGAATCTGAAGCAGGCTCCAGGCTCTGAGCTGTCAGCACAGAGCCTGACCTGGGGCTGGAACTCACAACCCATGAGATCATGACCTGACGGAAGTTGGACGCTTAATCGACTGAGCTGCTCAGGCGCCCCACTTTTGACCATTTTTTAACTCATCTGTTTTCTTGTTGTTAAGTTTTAAGAATTCTTTATCTCTTTTTGATGCAGGTGCTTTATTAGATATGTATTTTGCAGATATTTTCTTCTAGTCTGGCTTGCCTTTTTATTCTCTTAACAGTGTCTTTTGAGAACAAATGTTTTTAATTTTAATAAAGGCCAACTTATCAATTTCATGGATAACCTTAGGTGTCGTATTTAAAAACTCATTGTCAGACTCAAGGCCACCTGGATTTTATCCTTTTATTTTTTCCAGAAGTTTTATAGTTTTACATTTTTAGGTCTATGATCCATTCTGAGTTTATTTTTGTGAAAGGTGTGAGGTCTGTGTCTAGATTCACTTTTTTTGCCCATGGACTTTCAGTTGTATCAGTATCATGTAAATGAGCTTTTTAAGTCAAGTAGATTATAAATTAGGTTTAGGATTGACAGGAGACTGTTTTTATTTGATTTTTAAAAATACACTCTGCAAAATTGCTTAAAAGAAACAGTTGAGAAATGACTTGTAAACTAAAATGTAGTAATACACAGACTATGCGTTGAGATTGGTTCCTGGAGGTTATACGTTTTTCTCTCTTCCTTACTAAGAGATTCTTCTTTGTGAAAAATGGAATTGTTAATACAGAGTAATATCTCTCAGTTCTTTTAGATATTTTAGAACTGTAAGAAATAATTAGTAAGGTTTTCTTTTTCACAAAGAGTGTCTGAAAGATGTGATTTACAAGGTGTGTGGTGAGAAGAGGCAGATGATGTATGTGCCATCTAGAAATTTGAGACTTAACTGTATGGTGTTGAATCTTATCTCCTACCTCTTTCCTTGCCACAAATAGTTTTTTCAAGTACCTTTCTTTTGGTAAACACTTGTGTTATTGATAATGGGTGGGGCCAGAAATACTTGTATTGTTACGCTATAGATAGAACCATTAATTAGTTTTCAAAAAGCATCTAGTGAGATCTGACACAGTAAAAGTAGCAGCTTTGGTGTGGCAGGTGTTATACATTATCTTTTAAAACTCTTATAAGAGGTCTTTAAGGCAGATCTCCTTATTTCCGTATTACAGGTAAGAAATATGCTCAGAAAGATAAAGTGACTTGTCTGTGGTCCGTGTGGGGAGAAAGAGACAGAGTTGGGATGAGAACTTTGATCTTTCTGACTCTAAAACTTTCCAGTTGGCCACGTGGTCTCTCATAAAAGAAAAAGTGCAAGGATAGTATCAGGGTGTCCTTGCCTTTATTCTTTTCTTTAAAACTGTGCACTACTTAAATGACAACTGAGCTAAATGCGAATGGTTCAAAAATTGTGTTTTTGAGATACATGGAGATTCTTTAAAAATTTTTTCTGTTGACTGATTTGCATCTTCCTTACCCAGAGATGTGAGTCATTGAAACATGTTTATAAAGAAGGAGGTTCCTTTAAAGAGAAGAACTTGTGGGAGTTGGGAAAAATAAGACATGTAATAGTAGAATTAGCTAATTGTTTATACCTTTTCCCCACTGAATTGCAAGTTTCTTGAGGGCAGGAAACTAAACTCAATTATCTTTTTTTTTTTTTAACATTTATTTATTTTTGAGAGAGAGAGAGACAGACAGACAGACAGACCGTTGAGTGGGGTAGGGCAGAGAGACAGAGTGACACAGAATCCAAAGCAGGCTCCAGGCTCTGAACTGTCTGCACAGAGCCCAACATGGGGCTTGAACCCACGAACCATGAGATCATGACCTGAGCCGAAGTCCGACATTTAACCAGTTGAACCACCCGGCGCCTCTAAACTCAATTATCTTTAAGCACAGCATATCACATAGAATAGATACTCACAAAATGTTTGCTGAATGAAATTAGCACTTACTATCATACTTCTTGCAGAAGAACAGTTAGAAGGGATTGAGTTTTCCTCCCAGAGGAAGATGAACATTATTACATTTCATTTATTCATTCATCATTTATTGAGCATTTGTTGAGTATCTGTTCTGTGCCAGACACTGGGAATACAAAGACGAATGAGACAGGATCTCTACCTTCTGTCTTCAGGGAACCCAGAGAATGGAGACAACCATTTCAGTAGAGTGTGGAACTAATGAGATATATATATTAAATAAATAAGCAAGCAAGCAGTGGACTTTGAAATCAGAGAGACCTTATCTGCCTCAATTTTCTTATCTAGGAAGTGAAAATGATAATAGTACTTATTTGACATGATTGTTGGGGGTAGGTTAAATGAAAAAAAAAATTATATCTCTGCATATAGACAAAAGGAGAGGCTTACTGTGGCCGAGGAATCAGAAAAATCTCTATTGGAGAATGTGACATTTGAGTTTTATAGGATGAATTTTTGAGGCCAAGAATAAGAATATGAGGTGGGACTCTAGGGCATTCCAGACAGAAAGATGAATATGTTTGATGTGCAGAATGGGTGGACATGATGGGAGTCATGGGAAATTCTGTACATTCTCACAGAGCCTACAGGGATATTAGAAAGAACTGAATAACCAGTTATTTTTCATTTTTGTAAGTAACAGTACAATAGAGTATTTACTGCATCATAGTAGGAGAGGATAAAGATATCAAACCTGTTTTAAGAATTGCATGAATCTCCTCTTCTAATCATAGGACTTTTTAAATATAGTCCTTTATGTGGTAGATAAATTCTTGTGTGTGTGTGTGTGTGTGTGTGTGTGTGTGTGTGTGTGTTTAACCCAGTCCTGTGACACTCAAGTGATTTTATTAAGAAAGAGGCTTGTGTGTTTTTAAGTGAAATAAGAGCTTCTGTCTAAAACCATGCATATATTTAGTAGCGTAGCAACATTAGAATGTAACATCCCATAAAGGCACCATCTAGTGCTATTTGAGCCAATCCATAATTCTAAGAGCCATGAACAGTTTCTGAGCAGAACCTGAACATAATATGTTCTAAATTAATAATTTAAGTGAATGTGCTAAAATAATTTAAGTGAACGAATTATGTGCTTGATAGGAGGTTACAGTTCATTTTTAATATATGGGAGAAAAAAAAAAAAAGGAAAGACCAAATAGAAAAAAGTGAACATCAATAGAGGGAAGAGAAGTTTATATTTATTTAAAAAAAATTTTTTTTTAACGTTTTATTTATTTTTGAGACAGAGAGAGACAGAGCATGAACGGGGGAGGGTCAGAGAGAGAGGGAGACACAGAATCAGAAGCAGGCTCCAGGCTCTGAGCCATCAGCCCAGAGCCCGACGCAGGGCTCGAACTCCTGGACTGCGAGATCGTGACCTGAGCTGAAGTTGGACACTTAACCGACTGAGCCACCCAGGCGCCCCGAGAAGTTTATATTTAAAGAGAGGGGCAATAGTCACCAGACTATTTCACAGTTGCATTTTACCAAACATTTAAAGAAGAGTTAATACCTATACTTCTCAAACTATTCCAAAAAATTGAAGAGGAAGAAATGTTTCCAAATACATTCTCTAAGTTTAGCATTAGCCTGGTACCGAAACCAGATAAAGACACCACAAAAAAAGAAAATTATAAATCAGTATCCTTGATGAACATAAATGCGGAAATCATCAACAAAATCTTAGCAAACCGAATTCAATAGTACATTAAAAGATTCCTACCCCAGGATAAAGTGGGATTTAGTCTAGGGATGCAAAGATATTTCAGTATCTTCAATTTAACATGATACACCATATTAACAAAATGAAGAGTAAGAATTATATGATCAACTCCATAGATGCAGAAAAAGCATTTGACAAAATTCACATTCATTTATGATAAAGACTCAGCAAAGTGGCATAGGGGGAATATATCACAACCTAATAAAGGCCATATATGACAGACACACAACCAACATGATACTCAACTGTGAAAAATTGAAAGTGTTTCTTCTAAGATCAGGAAAAAGAGAAGGTTGCCTATTTTAACTACTATTATTCAGCATGGTATTGGAAGTCCTAGCCACAGAAGTCAGATAAGAAAAAGAAATAAAAGGCATACAAATTGGAAAGGAAGAAGTAAAACTGTCACTGTATGCAGGTAACATGTTACTATATATGGAAAACCTCAAAGACTCCATAGAAAACGGTTAGAATAAATGAATTCAGTAAAATTTCAGAATACAAAATCAACAAACAAAAATCTGTTCTGTTTTCATATACTAACAACAAGCCATCTGAAAAGGAAATTAGAAAAAAAAATTGAATTTACAGTAGCAATAGTTTATTACTTAGTAATAAAGTTAACTAAGGAGGTGAAAGACTTGTATACTGAAAACAACAAAACATTGATGAAAGAAGTTAAAGAAAACAGATGGAAAGATATTCTATATTCATGGATTGGAAGAGTTAATATTATTAGAGTGTCCATACCACTCAAAGCAATTTTTAGATTCAGT